AATAGAGAATACATTAGTAAGAAAAGTACGAATCGTTTGGTTCAATAGAGAATACATTAGTAAGAAAAGTACGAATCGTTTGGTTCAACAGAGAATACATTATTAAGGAAAGTACGAATCGTTTGGTTCAACAGAGAATACATTAGTAAGAAAAGTACGAATCGTTTGGTTCAATAGAGAATACATTATTAAGGAAAGTACGAATCGTTTGGTTCATTAGAGAATACATTAGTAAGAAAAGTACGAATCGTTTGGTTCAACAGAGAATACATTAGTAAGAAAAGTACGAATCGTTTGGTTCAACAGAGAATACATTAGTAAGAAAAGTACGAATCGTTTGGTACAACAGAGAATACATTATTAAGGAAAGTATGACTAGCTTAGTTGAACAGAGATGAATTTTTAAGGAAGTACGAATCGCTTGGTTCAACAGAGAATACATTAGTAAGGAAAGTACGAATCGTTTGGTTCAACAGAAAATACATTATTAAGGAAAGTATGACTACCTAATACAAGTTAGGCTTAACTCAGGTATGGAAATGTTAAAACTTTTAAGGATTCAATTTACTCTTCTTAAACTTCTAGTTGTATCAGCATTCATTTAGTTAAAGAAAGAACTTATCATCTTGAGGTTCTTAAAGGTTTCTATCCACCCGCCCTATCTAACATTAAGATAAAAAATCACGATTCTTTTATTTTTCATTAACTATAAAACAAACAACGGTTAGAATATATTGACAGGTAAGATTACAGTAGTTTTAAACAATATTTTCACGCACTTCTGAGACAAACATACCGTAGTACTCTTCTCCTTCTATAATATCCCAGGCCAAGTGAGGATATACGTTCAGTAGAGCGCGTGCAATGTTTGTGTGACGTGGGGTGTTACATAATAAAAGCACGTGCAGTAAGCTCTCTCCGAGCATTCCTCGCAGCTCAAGTTTCCAACACACACGTCGATCTTCGGGCTTAACGTTAGCGAGAATGGAAGCATTGTACATCAAGGTTTCCACTGAAATGGCCACCTGTTGAAATAAGATGTATAAAGCGAAATGAAACTGGGTTTCTTTCAAGAAACAGTACATGATGTGTGAAAGTTTAGTGATGATTTCAGCATTCATCAATAAAAGTAAATAAAAATCATATTTAAATTAAAAGTTACAATTATATCTTCTGGTCTGACATCTATATACTACTAAAACTCTGAGATTGTTTGTGTGTGTGTGCTTGTCTGTAATTAAATACAGCAAAAACGGCACAAATAGCGTAATATTTGTAATGAAATGAGAATAGAAACAGAATAAAACAAGTTTCGTTAAAATCGGGCCACGGGTTAACCCCATTTTTCGGGTCATTTTTAAGAAAATTTCAAAATGAATTTAGATACATTAAATAGCGCCACATATCGATTTATCTATCTATCTATTCATTTTCCACCTGATGAATCACTTTAAAATATCTTCTATACAACAATATATGCACAACAGAAAATAAATGATGAGATGAAAATGTGTTATAACGGCACGTAGAAAGAACAACAGTAAAATGGACCTACAGTATTATTGACTATTTGCAAATAGTAACTATGGAGATGAGGTAATAAAATAAAAATCAAGT